ATTGAGTCTTCTCAATAATTCCATTAGGTAGGTACTGTTTGTTCCATTTGAGAGATGGGGAAACCGAGACTTCCCCGTGGTCATTGCCGGTGGTCTGTGTAGAGCCAGGCTTTCAAACACGGGTCCACGTGACAGCAAAGGCCACTTTCTGTAGCCACGTCACGGTGCCTCCCAGCAGTGCCAGATCGTCACCCCCACCTACCCACCTCCAGGAGGGCCTGGCACCTGCCTGGCTGTTGGGGGCGGAGGAGGGTGGGAAGCGAGAAAGGCCCTTCCTGCTTTAGGTCTCTCTCTCCTTCCCTCCTCTGAACATATGTTCTGTACCGGATGCTTTAATTAAACCTTATCTTCTAATCACAGGGTAGGTTTTGGAATGTCCATTTTACTTAGGAAGAAACTGAGGTTTTGAGAGGTTAGTCTTTTCCCAGGTTCCCAAAGCTGCCTTGGTTTCTTTTGACTGATTTTTTCGCTTGGCCAGGACTTGAGTCGAGAACAACCGGAATCCTGTAGGCAGTGGAGACTGCGGCCGATCTATCTTTGCTGGACCACGGCCTGCTGTTTGGGGTAGGGGCGAGTGTCCAGGGTGTCGGCTGGCAGATGAAAAGGTGTGGATTCGGGCATCAGCGAGGCCCGAGTTCAGATGCTGCCTCCTCTGGGCCTTGGGTGGGATGTCCCGGCCCTGAGCCTTGGTCTCCATGGGGCTCTTGCGAGAACTAAGTGGGGACATGAGGGTGGCGCCCTGCACTTAGTGCTGCATCACCTCGAGCTTTCTCTTCGCCCCCTTCCTTTGGCCAGTGTGCATGGCTGTCCCCGAAGGGGCCTTTGGCAGGGCCAGTCAGCCCTGGCTGCACCATTTCTGCTGAGTGCTGGCCCTAGACTGGGCGCCGGCCCTGCAGGAGGCCAGAGGCACGCCCCTGTCCAGGACACAGACTTGGGCCTGGCCACTGGGAGACGAGAACGGGGCCTGCAGTGGCGCCCTGGCACCGGTGCGGTGCAGGAGAACCTGGAGACAGCATCGGGTCCCCAGGCAGGAAGGCCCCCGAGAAGGGACTCCTGGGGACACTGTGTACCTGTTCTCAATATGGGGCCTCTGGGGGCCCATCATGCTGGGAACCCCAGTAGCACTCCCTAGCTGTCCCTCTGTCTCTTTCTTGACTCTCCCCTGGGTTGGGAGAAGACTGAGGTGTCCCAGGGACCTGAGACCCAGGCAGGGAGGTGGGCGGGAACATCACAGCCACAGTCCCTCCCAGGCCACTTCTTTCCTTCTGCCCTTGGGGTGCCCGGCAGCCACATAAGCTCAGCCTGGAGCTGGGATTCTGCCCCAGAGGTGCTGGTGGGGAGGCCGCCTCAGGAGCTCGGGGGGCTCCGTCTGTGCCGGCCGCTGTGCCGGGCGAACGCCGCCTTGGCCAGCCTGGAAACGGCCGGGGGACCAGGAGTGTGGGCGGTGGTCGTGCCCTGGATCCGACACCCGCCAGGGCCCGCAGAGCCTGGAAGGGGTGAGGGGACTCGGGAAAGCTTTGTCCCGAGCCCTTGCCCTCGGCCAGCCCAGCTCCCAGCTCTGAGTAAACATTAGAGATAGGATCGGGCGTAGCCAGGAAGGGTGGCAGGGTGTGGCCTGAGAGAAGAATGGCAGGATGTGGCACTGGGCACAGTTCTGGGCACCCACGCCTTGGGCCATTGTTTAGGGCAGCCTGAGGCTCGCAGCTCTCGGGGGCTTTGAGAGGAAGTGGCATTCCTCTGGGACGCCAGCCCGGCCCCACCCCTGCCTCGGGGACCTCCTCCTCCGCGCTGCCCCCTGGCACCGCCGGCTGGGAGCCTGGGAGTTGGGGGCCGGCACCAGAGGGTGGTCGTGTGCCCAGTGGGGGAATGCAGCCTCTGGCCCTGCCCGGAGGGTCTGCCTGTCCATTCAGGCTTCCTGTGGCCCTGGGTGTGAGTCACTGGTCATGCTACAATGACTGTAACTTATCTCCATCTTTATCTGCATCTAGATATTTTTGGGGGTTGGGAGAGGGCCCTCCTTGTGGAGGGAGGAAGGGCTGAGAGTGAAAACTCCTTTGATTCCGGTCCGGTGGGGCGGGTCGTTGACGGATTAGAAGAGGAAGTGGCTGGTAGGTTGTTTGGGGTGGAGGAAAGGGGCTCGGCGTGTGCGCACCTGGGTGGGTGGCTGGGGGTCAGGAGGGCTGTGGCAGGGTGGGGAAGGGAAAGGAAGAGAGTCAACACCTGCAGTCCGCTCTGTCGCATAAATACTGCGGAGCAGGTGCCTCTCTAGGCCTTGTCCCGGGCGCTGGATTTGGGGGGCCATCTCCAAGACTCAAGGGTCTGCGCATCGAGGCGAAGATGGCCGGAGCCCTCCCCTCTTAGGGGTCTTCCCCTCTTAAGCACGCTTGCTTGGGTGAGATAGGGCCTGGGAGCAAGAAGCATGGAAGAGGGACTACAGTGGGTGCCCCCAAGAAGGACAGGGCAGAGAGGGCTGCTGCAGTTGGGCGGCCCAGCTGGCGAAGGTCCCCGCCCCAGAGTCCTACTGCCCCACGGGCCACGTGAGCTTGACATCTCGGGACCTCGGTTTCTTCCTTTATACAGCGTGTGTGAGGCCGGGCAACAGGGAGGCGGTCGGGCACACCGGAGCACTTCACAGGAGCGGGGGTGGCTGGCGGGGTGTCCTGTGGACTTGCAGCCTCCGACCGGGACCAGGGGTGGCACACTAGGCTGGGAGCCGGGGCCGGTGGTCCGTGTGGCATGTGGGTGCCTGGGAGAGGGGAGACCACCGAGATCCCTGACCTTCAGACCTCCAGAGAAACCACATGGAGAACTGAGGCAGGAGCATGCTTTGTAAGGAAAGGGGTAAAGGAACTGGGTAGGGGGGTTTAGTCTCTGCAAAAGAAGGGACTTAAGATCTGAGAAGCATGGAAGATGTTTCTTATCTGACCCAAGGTATTAAAAAAAAAAAAAAAAGCCCAAAGGAAGTGGACTCTTTGCTGCCAGGGGGATTTAGGTCACTCATGGGAAGAGCTTGGATCCAAGGAGCAGGCAGCAGAGGATAATTGGGCGTGGGGTGGGGGGTGGGACACACACTGCAGAGAGCAGCATCCATCTAGTGGTGATAATAGGACCTGTCACCTGTTACCTATGCAGGACTGCTTCCTGCGTGCTGCTGAGCTACACCTTACTCCCTTACCATTGTGCGAATATTTATCGAGCACCTACTATGCTCCAGGGACCGCACTATGCTCTGGGGCTATGATGATGAGCAGAAACAGGTATATTGCCACACTGCTGTGGCTGGAGGGGGTTCTCAGGCTATTGGGTGAGTCTGAAATAAATTAAGCATGAGAAGGTGTCATTATCAACTGTGATAAGTACTTTGAAGGCCAAGTTCGAATTGCCATGCAAATGTAAAACAGGTGCATCTGATACCGTCTGAGTTCTCAACAGAAGGCTCACCTCTTCGTGTTGGGTCATCTTATCCCCATTTTACTGAGGAGAAAACTGGGGCTCAGAGAGATTAAGTTACTTGTTCGAGATTGCACAGCAATGAATGGTCAGAGTTGGGATTCAAATGTACCCAGGTCTGTGTGGCTGTACACACTTTGCTGTCAACCACCTGACCGTCAGAGCATCCTGGGCTATGCACAACTTGTCTCACCTTGTATTATTTAATCTTCGTGGACACCTGAGAAATGTGAGTTATTGTGCCTTTTATATAGATGAGGAGACAGAGACTCAGGTTAATTAACTTGCCTAGATTCATGGAAGTCAGCCATGGCAGGGCAGGGATTAAACCCAGGTTATTGGGCTCAAAAGTCTGTGAGTCTGGCTGGGTGCGGTGGCCCACGCCTGTAATCCTAGCACTCTGGAAGCCAAGGTGGGAGGATCGCTCGAGGTCGGGAGTTCGAAACCAGCCTGAGCAAGAGCAAGACCCCATCTCTACTAAAAATAGAAAGAAATTAATTGGGACAACTAAAAATATGTAGAAAAAAAGTAGCTGGGCATGGTGGCACATGCCTGTAGTCCCAGCTACTCGGGAGGCTGAGGCAGGAGGATCGCTTGAGGCCAGCAGTTTGAGGTTGCTGTGAGCTAGGCTGATGCCACGGCACTCACTCTAGCCTGGGCAACAGAGCGAGACTGTCTCAAAACAAACAAACAAACGAACAAACCTGTGAGTCTTCCAGACTGTCCCGTTGACTCCCCCATACCTTTGCCTGAAGAAGCAAAGCAATCTATGCAGGCACACTGGGCTGCCGAGTGACAGAGCAGGGACTGCGTGACAACCTCTCTCCTGCCACCTTGCTCCCCTTCCTCTCCTTAGTGGCCTATTGCAGGTGACTTGGGCCCTCTTTTCTGGGACGGTTCAGGCCTGGATCCTGGCACTGACGCTCTTCATAAAGAGCCTGGGACTTTTGTTCCCTCAAGGCTGTGACAGGGCAGGGAGAGGAGCTGCCCTTCTCAAGCAGGGGAGGGGCAGAGGGAGGCAAGAGAGAGAGGTGCCCAAGGACCCTCTCCCTGAAGGCGAGACTCGGGGCGGTGCTGTCCAGGAGGGCCGTGGGGCCTGGGCAGCTGCCTCTCCACCAACAAATGGGTCAAGAGGAGGCCGGCTCTGGGCCAGTGCCAGCACCTGCAGCTGAGTCAGATGCCTGTGCGAATGGAAGTGCCCTTGTCTGGGCAGGGTTATCTGGTGGGCACCAAGCCCAGGTGAAAGACTGACACCTCCAAGCCAGCTTGGCTGGTCACCAGGAGCTATTTTCTTTGTTACCAAGTGCTGTGCTAGGGCCGGGCCGGGCCAGGCCATGGGAGGCCCGGGAGGCAGGTTTCCTAATACAAAGGCATCCACGCCACTGGCGGGGGGCACTGCTGGGGGTTACCTGTGGATAGAAAAGGCCATCCAAGGTCAAAGGGAGATGTCCTTGGGCAACACCATCCGAAGAAATAGAATAGGAGCAACATGAGAAATTAAAAATGTTTCTAGTAGCTACATTTAAAAGTGTAAAAAGAAACAGGTGAAATGAATTTTAATAATGTATTTTATTTAACCCAGCCTATCCGAAATATCATTTCAACTTGTAATCAATAACCAGTTATTAATGAGCTATTTTACGTTCTGTTCTGCGTAGTAAGCCGTGGGAAGCTGGGGTGTATTTTGCACTCGGGACACAACCATTGGGACTGGCTACGTTACAGGTGCATATCGGCCACGTGTGGAGAGTGGCTGCGGTCTTGGGCAGTTACAGTCCCAGAGTTAATTAGGACGGATGATCACCTCTGCTGCCATCCTCAGCTCCAGGGATGGATAGATGTTGTTCACTGTCTCCAACGGGGAGACCTTGTGCTCATCTGACCGTGCTCCCGGTGGTCTGACAATGCTCCCTGCCATCCAGCTAAGCTCCTTATGCTCCCTGGTCGGACTGTGCTCCCGGTGGTCGGACGGACTGTGCTCCCGGTGGTCGGTCGGACTGTGCTCCCCGTGGTCGGTCGGACTGTGCTCCCGGTGGTTGGACCGTGCTCCCCGATCCGACTGTGCTCCCTGCCGTGGCTGAGTCCATGGCTGCTGCTCGGGTCTCTGGGCTGTCGTCCGCAAGAAAGGCTTTGAGGTAGCAGCTGGAGGGCCGTGAAGTTGGGCCAGGACGAGGGAGAAAAGCCCTTGGGACCCAAGTCCAGAGCGAGGAGGGACCTGGTGGCTGGGTGGGTGTGGGCGAGGTGGCGCGGAGCCCTGGATCAGAGGCCCACAGGCTGGCATTGTGCGCCTGTCACACTTCCTTTGGCTTTATTGCTTTTGTCCAACTCCCTATTGTCTAGCTTCCTTTTGTCCCCCATTCAGTGCTGCTGCCTTTTATTTTCCAGCCAGCCTGGTTGTTTTCATTTCTTTTGTCTGAAGTTCCTGAGAGGAAGGTTTTATTTTCAGCGGTTTGATTAATTCACAGCTTGAGCCCGGGGTTTGTTTGTTATGTAATTGCTGCCCTCAGCTTCAGGATAATGCCCCCTCCCGACCAGCTCCCACTCCCCCCCTGCCCGGCCGGCTCCTGGTGCCCGGATGGGCTGAGCCGCCTGCCTCCTGGACACTGTCCAGGTCCGGGCGGTGGGGGGGCCCCGGGGCCAGCCGGGCTGGGGTGTGCCGTCTTCTCCCTCGGTCTCGCTGGGACAGGCCAGCGTCCTCAGGCCCAGGTAGGCCTCTCTCTCCTCGGCCTGCAGTGCCCGGCCTGGGTTCCCTACTCTTGGACGGTGGGTGGGTGCAGGAGAGTGCGGTCTGGTCTGGTCTGTAGGGCGGGATCAAATTAAACACGCACACGGTCACGGGTCGCCTGCTACCTGGCAATGATTCAGTCCACGTCTGACCGAGTATGGGGCGGTGGTCCCCTAGCGTTATGATGCTGTGTTTTCGCCACACGTGTGCCGTGTTTGGCGCTGTTTAGACGCACAGATACTTACCATTGAGCTGCGGTTGCCCACGGTACTCGGTGCAGTGACAGCGTGCCGTCCAGGCTGGTAGTGCAGGAGCGCCGGGCTGTGCCATGGAGCCGGGTGTGTAGTGGGCTGTACCATCTAGGTTAAGGTGAGCACGCTCTGATGTTTGCACAGTGACATTGCCTAGCGACACGTTTCTCAGGACGTGTTCGCGTCGTCATGTGAGCAGCAGGACTGTATAGCGTCATCCCGCTGGCTTTGTGGGGGGAATTGGCTCCAGGACTCCCCCCACCCCCAGGATACCAAAATCCGCTGATGATCCAAGTCCCTGATATAAAATAGTATTTGCATATAACCCTACGCAAACCCTCCCCTATACCTAAATCATCTCTAGATTACTTACAATACCTATAACGATGTAAATGCTATGTAAATAGCTGTTGCACCGTATTGTTTAGAGAGTGACCACAAGCAAAAAAGTCTACATGTTTAGTACAGACACATTTTTTTAAAAATCCAAAGTTAGTTGAATCCACAGATGTGGGACCACAGATTAGGAGGGCTGATTATATATAACTTATTCAATTATAATATTCTTTTAGTTCATTTCAAACACTGTACATGTACTCTACTGTATATACGGCACTGTAACATAACATGATTCATGATAAGTCACAAGAAACATTTTAGGGAGCTGATGCAAGACACAAATATACCACACCTGCAATTTAATGTAAGAGAGATTTTACTATATCAGATTTCTGCCTTATACATCTCCTCCAAAAATTTAAATCCCCATGTAAAAAAAATGTTGAAACATTTTATTTAGCATTGCTTCTCTAATTAGCGTGTATCGGAATCACCTTGTTAAAAGAGATCCCTGGCCTAACTCCCAGAGAATCCGATTTGAGGGTGGGACCCACAGCTGCCTGTCAAACCAGCCGCTGGTCCTAACACCACAACACACTCCGGCCGGCGGTGGTTGTACGAATGCCAGCTCAGCGCTCACTAGCGCCACGGCCTGTTCACTATGACATGAACTCGTAGTCCTCGTGGCCGCCCTATAAGGTAGGGACTCTTACATGCCCATTTCACAGCAGAGGAAACCGAGGTGCGGGTGCAGAGAGGCTAGGCGGCTCGCCCTCGGTCACTTGGCTAGTTGAGTCGCAGAGGCAGGACACCTTGTATAGTCGGAACCTGCTGCGTGTCCCCACTGGAACCGGAAGCGCACGCCCCGATGGGACCCAGATGCTTGCCCCAGCCACTTTGGAGGGTGGGTGCCTGCTGCTTGGGCCCCAGCCTGCCGTGACCACTGGAGGCCACTCCCCGAGGTCCTGGCTTGCTCCTCTGGATGCCCCGGGCGGTGACATGACGGGAGGGGAGGCCACAGTGGGGAACAGTGGGTGCATTCTCAGGAGAGCCTGCCAGAGGGGCCACCTGCTGACACCAGGGACCGAAAATCCAAATGCCTGCAAGGGCAGACTCTAAACGAGAGAGCCTCTAGCTCGATATCAGAAAATATTTTTCTTAAAGCCACTCATTTTTTTTAGCCAGTTACTGATTTTTGCATTTTTGGTAGATGCATGAATATAAGAAGTGTTTCCCTTTCGCCTTGTCTCCAGTATAAGAAAAAAAATTAACATCTTGTCTAGGGTGGTCGATATCGCTCATTTGGGGCAGTAGCAGGGAGTGGCAGGGCTGAGGCAAACCGGCCTGTCCGTAAGGAGTCCTGCTGGTCCATTCCAGCCAGTTTTTGCCACAACAACTGAGCTGGAAGTCTGATTCCAGATTTTTATGTGCTGTCCCTGGATTTTTACGTTTTGGTAACTCATTACAAAAATGCGTACGTAGATCCACAGGCATTCAGAGACAGCCGGTTGGCAGTCCCCGGCCCCCTCCGGCAGGCCCGCCAGCCTGCCAGTCCCAACGCTGCCCAGGCAGGGAGTGCCTAAGGTTGGGCCCGCTCTTCTCTAGACCTTTCTATTTAAAAAAAAAAACAAAGCGGGCTCCCCACGCCCGCTTGCATTTGTGTGAGCGAGCCTGTTCTGGGTGGAGTCCCTGCCTCCAGTGCTCGTTGGGCTGGCAGTTCACTATCTCCCCTTCCGCACTCCCCCAGGATGGCCATGAGGAGCCCCGTGTCTGCCCAGCTGGCCCTGGAGGCCCCGGGGGTTTTGGCCCAATGGTGAACTGCACCGTCAAGTCTGAGGACAAGAAGGAGCCTTGCCACGAGGCCCCCCAGGGCGCGGCCGCCGCTGCTGAGCCCCAGCCTGCAGACCCAGCCCGCACCCCGCAGGACGGTGCAGACCCCCAAGCCCCAGCCCAGGTGCCCAGCACTTTCCCAGGGGCTCCTGGGTCAGTGTCCCTCCCCTGCCTCTGTCCATACCTGGCCTCTCTGCGGGGCTGGGCGGCCCACTCCCCTAGCCGGGCAGCGGAGGTCTGCGTAGGTGGGCGGGGGCCAGGCCACCTGCCAGAGCTGGGCCTGGGCTCACCTGAAGGTGACTGCTCACGGATATGTGACCCAGCCCTTGCTCCTGAGGACCAGTTGGGGAGACAGGACGCACACGACAAAAGTTCACCTTCAAAGTAATCTGTCGGCTTTTTCGTGCGATTCGAGGAAACCAGCCACGCTACCCAAGCAAGAGCTAAATCACTGCTAAAGACGATACAGTTCCTCACCCTCAAAATGAGGGAATTGACCTACCTGATCAATAAGGATTCTTGCAGTTCTTAAAAATCCTATGATTCTGTGCAGGAGATGTAAAAAGGAAATATATAATTAAAAGCCAAATGAGGGCCAAGCCCAGTGACTCATGCCTGTAATTCTAGCATTTAAAGCTAGGAATTCAGGACCAGCCTGGGCAACATAGCAAGACCCCCATCTCTACAAAAACATTTAGCCGGACGTGGTGGTGTGCCACTGGTATTCCCAGCTACTTGGGAATCTGAGGCAGGAAGCTCGTTGAGCCCAGGAGTTTAAAGTTACAGCGGGCTGTGATTATGCCACTGCACTCCAGCCTGGGTGACAGAGTGAGACCCTGTATCACCCCCCCTCCCAAAGAAGCAAGCAAACCAAAAAACCCAAATGAGTGAGAATTAGGAGAGTTTCTGGGTTCTAAGGAGGAATCCAGCCTAGAGGAGTGTATTTGTATGTGTTTGTATATGTCAGTGGTGATCAAGGAAGACTTCCTGGAGGAGTAGGGCCTCAAGCTAAGCCTGAAAGGATGAGGACGCCTTAGATGAGAAAAGGAGCGAGGTGGGGCCCTGTGAATAACCAGCCCTGCTGGAGCAGCAGGTGGATGCAGGGAGTGCTAATTGATAGCTTTGGCCCCTGACTCCTCGAGGCAAACCTCATTCACATGTAGTAACTCCCTTTATCCCAGAAACAATCCTGCTACAGGGGTGTGTGTGTGTGGGGGGGGTATTAGTATTTCCATTTTCAGAAGAGGGAAGTGAGGTTCAGAGAGGTTCAGGGACTTGTGTGGGATCAAGCTCCTTGTGAGTCACTGAGCCTGGACTGAAACCCAGGTCTTTTATCTTCAGATCTTTTGTTCTTGTCACTGCATCAAGCGGAGTGTGAGCAAAGGTTGGGCAGGTGGGGGACCAGGGGCCTTTTGGGTGGGGCAGTGGGGCTTTGGCGTGAGTCTGGGGTTCCCTCAGGGTGGACCTCCCCTGGGGTGCTCAGCCCTCCCTACCACCTGCCCCTCCCTCCGGGGGGTGACAGTGACAGTTCAGTGTGTCTTGCAGGACTGCAGCTCTCCGGAGAGCAGTGGGTCCCCAGAGCCCAAGAGACCGGGAGCCTCTGAGGCCGCTGCTTCTGGAAGCCAGGAGAAGCTGGACTTCAACCGGAATTTGAAGGAAGGTAAAAGCCTGCCCCGGTGGGAGGCAGGGCCTGGGCGGGCCCTGGGGACGGCCACTCTCACCCGCCGCTGTCTTCCAGTGGTGCCGGCCATCGAGAAGCTGCTGTCCAGTGACTGGAAGGAGAGGTTTCTGGGAAGGGACTCTGTGGAAGCCAAAGATGTCAAAGGTAAAGGCCGGTGCCCAGGTCGGGGGGTGGGGGATTCATTGAACCCCCTTTCGTTTCTCCTAGCCTGGCCGTGCAGCCAGGTCTGCAGGGCCGTTCTGGGGTTCTTGGCACCCTCACACCTGTCCTGTGCCACTTGGCTCCTGCCTGGCCTTGGGGTCGTCCCCGTCCCTCACCCGGGGGCCCCAAGCACTGGGGGTGGCTCATCCCATGCAGGAGAGGCCTGGTGGGAACCCAGTCGCATGGCTGGGCCATCAGGCCTGTGGTTGCCACTTCTGGTCTGACTGTAAAATGAGGGGGAGGGCCTCTGCTTTGCATCCAGGAGCTTGTTTAACCCACAGTGACCCCACGAACTGTCTGTTGTTGGTGCCCACGTACGGATCTAAAAATCCCTCAAGTACAGAGAAGTCTGCAACTCGCCTAAGGGCTCACAGGCAGGATGGGTTGAAATGGGAATTCGAACCCAGACCTGACTTGCTCCAAAGCCTGAGCCCGACCTGCTGGGCCCTCCCGTGGGGTGGTTGCCCACCCTGACCCTGTGTGGCACTGGGCACTCGAGGACATCCAAGAGGCCCTGGGGCTGCGATGTCCTGCTGTCAGCACTTCCAGGCCTGGAGTTAGCGGCTAAGAGTGGGGAGGGTCTAGGCCAGCTGGTTGTCAGACAGCAAGGTGAGGAGCCCCTACAGGGCAAGCAAGGGCCACGTCTCATTACCTCTGTCGCTCAGCCCCTCACAGGGCCTGGGACACAGGAATGGCTCAATAAATGTCAGGTGGGCGGATGGGTAGATGGATGGGCAGATGAACAAACACAAAATCTGAGCGGCGGCTGTTTCCCTGTGGAGCAGGGACCCAAGAGAGCCTGGCAGAGAAGGAGCTCCAGCTTCTGGTCATGATCCACCAGCTGTCCACGCTGCGGGACCAGCTCCTGACGGCCCACTCGGAGCAGAAGAACATGGCCGCCATGCTGTTCGAGAAGCAGCAGCAGCAGATGGAGCTGGCCCGGCAGCAGCAGGAGCAGGTAGGCTGGGGGCGGGCTGGGGGACAGGCTGGGGGCGAGTGGGGGACAGGCTGGGGGACTCGGGCGGGGGGACGGGCTGGGTGGCGGGCGGGGGGGGCAGGCAGGGGGACAGGCTTGGGAGCAGGTGGGGGACAGGCTGGGAGCAGGGGCTGATTCGTAAGCCCTTGCGGGAGTAGAGCTCAGAAGGGACTGTGCAGAGAGAGCAGCAGGCTGCGTCCTGCTCAGCCTCCACCGCTGTCCCTGCACGCTCCCCTACCTGCGGTCCTCCGTGCTCGCCCCCGGTGGGGGGGGGAGGCAGGGTGTGGTGAGGAGGGGCACCAGGGCCCACGCCCACGACGCCCCTGCCCCCTCTGCCAGATCGCCAAGCAGCAGCAGCAGCTCATCCAGCAGCAGCACAAGATCAACCTCCTGCAGCAGCAGATACAGGTACCGCGGGGGAGACCAGGGATGGAGAGAAGGTGGTTGAGGGAGCCGACGCCAGCCTGGAGAGGTGCTGGGCACGGGGCGGGGACAGGGATGGTGGACCGAGCTAAAGCTGCACAGAGCAGGATCCCTCAGGCCCGCCCCAGGGAGGGGCCCTTATTTCTGTTCTAGCCCCCAGCCCGTCGTCTTTCCCTGTTTTAAGGCAGGAGCCCAGAATATCTTCCTCCCCAGCTGAGGCTGCAGGGCAGGTAGACAGGGCCCCTAGAGGTGGCACGGGGTCACATGGATCCCTCGAACACTGTCCCGGCCAGCCCTGTGCCCTGTGCCTCTCATCCATGGGACTGCTGCTCTCTGTGTCCTGGGCTGACCGCAGCTGGCCAGCTCCTTGGGTCTGTCTTTCTTTTCTTTCTTTTCCTCTTTCTTTCATCTCACTTTTGCCCAGGCTAGAGTGCCGTGGCATCAGCCTAGGTCACAGCAACCTCAAACTCCTGGGCTCAAGCAATCCTCCTGCCTCAGCCTCCCGAGTAGCTGGGACTACAGGCATGCACCACCATGCCCGGCTACTTTTTTTTTATACATATATATGTTGGCCAATTAATTTCTTTCTATTTATACTAGAGACGGGGTCTCGCTCTTGCTCAGGCTGGTTTCAAACTCCTGACCTCGAGCGATCCGCCCGCCTCGGCCTCCCAGAGTGCTAGGATTACAGGTGTGAGCCACTGCGCCCGGCCCACACAGGGTTTCTCTCCCTCCAGCAGGTCAACATGCCTTATGTCATGATCCCAGCCTTCCCTCCGAGCCACCAACCTCTGCCTGTCACCCCTGACTCCCAGCTGGCCTTGCCCATCCAGCCCATCCCCTGCAAACCAGGTGAGTGCGGCAAGGGTGGCTCCGCCCCGGCGGCTGGCCTGGCCTGTGCCAGGGAAGGGGACCCCGCAGCTGCTGGCCCCCGTTAATTTGCTGTGTGACCGTCCTGGGCCTCAGCTTCAGATCGGTCTGGTGGCAGAATAATCCCTCCTTTCTCAGCTTCACTGGGGCAATGGAAATGACGCACTGAAAACCACACAAAGTGCTTTTCAGATGCAAGGCGGTGTGGCCATCCAGGTCTAGTCCCCCCAGCGCTGGCACCTTCCCGTGCCAGAGTGTGAATATCTTGACGGTTAACTGAGGTCTGTCTACACATCTCCCGGACTCTAGCAGCTGCCGTCCCTACCGCCACGTGTCATTCCCGCCTCCTGACGTTCCGCAGACACGTCGACCATGTGTCACACGCGTGCAGTTGCTGGGGAGCCGTGGGGCTGACACAACAACGTGGGCAGGATTTACAGTCTGGGTGGGAGGGAAGAGAAAGGAAGCCAGTACTGGCGAATCTGGGAGGGCTTCTTGAGGAGGTGGCGTCTGCTTGGGTCCTGGGAGAATGAGCAGGAGCGTGAGGAGGCAGTGAGAAGCTGAGGGGAGAGGGCAATTGAGGCAGAGAGGCCCTGGATTCTGCAGCGGGAAGCTTCGAGGGGGTTAGGGTCGAGGGGAGCACATGCCGGGTGCAGGGGGGAGGCTGGGCAGAGCTGTCGGGACGGCGCGTGGAGCCTGGGATTCATGTTGTAGGACGGGGTGCGCTCGAATGTTTGGCGAGTGTGTCGTCTCTCTGGGGGTTGGGGGTAGGGGGGAGAACCGACCACAGGAGGGATCCCGTGGGGGCTCCTGTGATAATTCTATGATCGGGGAGGGCATCTGTCCCAGGGCAGTGACATGGGGATGGAGACATAGAATTATGGGAACAGGGCAGAGATGCTGCCCATAATTTCCCCAGGAAATTTTAAAATCGACACCCGTCGGTCCACCCTCCCTGTTCCACAAGTGAGAAAGAGGCAGAAGGAGGAATCCCCCGGTGAGTTCCTCGGGAAGCACAAAGGACTGCACAAGTCAGGCCCCGTCTTAGTCCGTTCAGGCTGCTACAACAAAATACCGTAAACTGGATGGCTTGTCAACAACGGCCATTTATTCCTGACAGTTGTGGGGGCCGGGAAGTCCAAGGTCCAGGCGCCGGCAGATTCGGCGCCTGCCTTCTGGTTCCCAGTCGGCACCTCTGGCTGCGGCCTCACCTGCTGGGGAGGGCAGACAAGCCCCTCGGGCCTCTGATCCCATTCCTGAGAGCTTTGCCCTCATGGCCTAATCACTTCCCAGAGGCCCCCCTTTGCCTGCCCTGGTGCCTGCCCCCTGCTAATGCCATCACACTGGGGATTGGGTTTTGCCATGTGAATTTTGGGGGACGCAAGCATTTGGGCCATAGCATTCTGCCCTGGCCCCTACCTACAAAGTCACGTCCTTCTCGCATGCAAAATACATTCATTCCGCCCCAACAGCCCCATGTTCCAGCATCAACTCAAAAGTTTGAAGTCCAGATTCCAGGTATGGGGCAGACTGCCCTGCAGAGCTGAGAGGAGTAGATTCCTGCTGTTCGTTAGCTGCCTAGGTTATGGGTCTTCGTTACAGCAGCCGAGTGGACTAAGACGGGCCCCGCGCAGAAGGAGGTTTCCAGTTAGCCGTGGTGAACTGGGAGAGGGGAGGGCTGGATTGGAGGCCAGGGCAATGGCCCCAAAGCATCGCGACTCCCCGTGAACACGGCCACACCTAGGAGGCGAGGGCAGCCCTGGCCAGGGAGGGGCCCTGAGTCCTTTCCAGACAGGGGGGGAGGGAGGAGTTAGGCTGGGAAGACCAGGACCAGCCCCGTCGCCTCCTGCTTTGTTTGCTCCAGAATCCAAGCAAGTAGGGCCCCTTCCTAAGGCCGGCTGTGAATACTGCCCCCCTCCCAGCTCGCCTGCCTTAGACGGCGCCTGGTGCCCGCCCCGGTCCGTCCACACTCCTGCGCTCCGCCTTCGCCCGGGGAGCCACCCGGGGCCAGTGCCGCCCCGTTCCGTCCACACGCCTGCGCTCCGCCTTCGCCCGGGAGCCGACCCGGCCCATGTGCCCGCCCCGTTCCGTCCACACTCCTGCGCTCCGCTTCGCCCGGGAGCCGACCCGGCCCATGTGCCCGCCCCGTTCCCCAGCCTCCCTCTCCTGCACCTCGCCACCCCGTCCCCCCCCCCCGTCCCAATCCTGCCCAGCCTGCAGGTGCTAGCTCAGATCTTGCTCCCCAGGAAGCCTGCTCTGTCACCCTAGCTGGAACAAAGTTCTCGGTGTGCCACCTGGGTGGCCCTTCTCCCCACCTGCCGTGCGCTGTGTGGTTTGTGCGCACGGCTTCTCTCTCCACCGTGAACCATCAGCTGCTCGATGCTGGGTGTGGTAGAGGTTGAGTGAAGTAGAGTGGGTAGAAGAGAGGGTGCTGTGAAGTCTTGAGGACCTGGGTTCAAATCCCAGTGCTGCCATTGCATAGCTCTGTGCGCGCAACCCTTTTGGCTTCTAAGGTCCCTGTTATTTTATCTGTAACATGGGATGGTGTGTATTAAACACCTAGTGTATGCCACAACACTGTATGCTATTGTGAGGTAGTGCACTTGAGACATGCCACACAACAGGCAGCTGCTTCTGTACCATGCATACAGTAGGCACAAAATATAAGCATCCACTGAATGAATAGATGGCATGCCCGCTCTCATTGCAACATTGGGTGGGGCTCTGGGGTCCTAAGCTGGATTGGGAGGGGCAGGAGCAGGGGAAGATGCCAGGCGCTGGGGGCACCGGGGGAGGAGGGCCAGGAGGCGCCCAGCCGTGCTCTGGGGCGGGGGAGGGCAGCGGGTGAGACCAAGCGGGGCCAGCTAGAGCCTTCGCCCGCCTTGCGGTGCGCGGCCCCGTCAAGCAGGTGTCTGCTGTTCTGTGCTCATCCAGGACTTTTCTCCCTGCCGCTTTTCCACAGTGGAGTACCCGCTGCAGCTGCTGCACAGCCCCCCCGCCCCGGTGGTGAAGAGGCCCGGGTCCCTGGCCGCCCACCACCCCCTGCAGGTACTGCGCCCTCCACCCCCTGCTGCCAGCCTGGGGCTCCCTCCCTGCTCGCCACGGCCGGCCACCCTGCGTGGGGACTGCGGGGTGAGCCCGGCACCCTCTGTCTCCGCTTGCTCCGTCGGTCCCCTTGGCTGTTCTGGGTTTGCTGTTCCACTTCTTCTCTGGGCCTCCTGGGGCCCCTCTCACCTCTGACCTCCCGGCTCTCCCTCAGGAGCCCTCCCAGCCCCTGAACCTGACGGCCAAGCCCAAGGCCCACGAGCTGCCCAACACGGCCAGCTCCCCCAGCCTGAAGATGAGCGGCTGCGGCCCCCGCCCCCCCAGCCACGGGGCCCCCACGCGGGACCTGCAGGCCAGCCCCCCCAGCCTGCCTCTGGGTAAGCTTGCTGCCACCCGCACCTGTCCGTCAGCCCGCCTAGGGGAGGGCCAGGGAGGTGTGACACGACTGTGCGCACGTCCTTTGCCCTCTCTGCGTTCCAGGCTTTACCGAACGAGGGGTCCCCAACTGTGTCTGTCTGGGCACTCCAGCGTCAGGTCAGGCCACCAGTTCCGCAGTTCCTGGGTCGCTATTTTCAGTTCTAGACTGTTGACCCTGCACAGACAGCAGCCCGTGTAAATGTCCCTTTGGGGGTGCAGTGCAGCCGCCACAGGCAAGAGGGAACGCTAACCCAGCTGGCTCCCTCCTCTTCCTCTGCCCTCCCCCATAGGCTTCCTTGGTGAAGGGGATCCCGTCACCAAAGCCATCCAGGATGCTCGACAGCTGCTGCACAGCCACAGCGGGGCCTTGGAAAGCTCCCCCAGCACCCCCTTCCGGAAGGTATGGGCCCCCCCTCACCTGCACCCCCTTCCGGAAGGTATGGGCCCCCCACCCCTGCACCCCCTTCTGGAAGGTATGGGCCCCCCTCCCCTGCACCCCGGGGAGGAGCAGATGACAGCCAGGGTTGAAAGACAAGAGTCTGAGGCCACTGAAGGGAGGGGAAGAGTGGGGTGACACGGGGGGCTGACGTGCAGGTTGCCTTGTCAACCCCAGGACCTCATCAGCCTGGACTCGTCCCCAGCCAAGGAGCGGCTGGAGGAGAGCTGCGTGCACCCGCTGGAGGAAGCCATGCTGGGCTGCGACATGGACGGTGAGGGCTCCGGGCACCGGCTGCTGGGCAGGAGGGCCGTCTCTGTGTCCGGGGCCAGGGAGTTGTCTCTGACCCCATCTCTCCATCTGTTGGGTCCTGTCCAGGTGTGCATGACCCCATCGTCCCATGTCTCTGTTGCCTCTGTCTCCCGGTCTCCACTCTCTTGGGGCCCCATTGCCATGGCTTCCTGTGTGTCTGTCTCTGGGTCCCTGGCTGGGTTTCTGGGGCCAACTTGCTGTGGTAGCCTCCTCAGTGCCTCCTGGTGGTGGCATAGGGGACGTCTCTGTGCCCCAGACAGGCTGCCCGGCTGACACCATCCCTGCCCCTCAGGCTCCCGCCACTTCCCGGAGTCTCGGAACAGCAGCCACATCAAGAGGCCCATGAACGCCTTCATGGTGTGGGCCAAGGACGAGCGGAGGAAGATCCTCCAGGCCTTCCCGGACATGCACAACTCCAGCATCAGCAAGATCCTCGGTAAGCACCGCAGGCGGGCTCGCCAGGGGCTCTAGGGGGTCCAGGGCCATCGTCCAGCAGGACGAGGTGTGGCAAGAGCCAGCTGGGTCCACTCGGGGCTTGCTTGGGGATATTGCACACCATGTTGGAGCCCAGTGGAATCTGATGGGGTGCAGGAGTTGGGGGGTTGTGGGGGCAGCTGGGTCCTAGGATTTTGTACCATTGCAGGGCTCTTCTGGTAGCACCTGCCCTCAAAAACTCAGAGGGAGGGAGATAGAGAGAGGGAGAGAGAGGGGGAGAGACAGGAGAGAGGAGGGAGAGAGAGGGAACACGAACACGAACACACATTCCTTGGCTCTCCTGATCTAAACCTAGCCTGTTCCACTGTTTGCCCAGCCCCTTGGGGCCGGCTGTAACAGACAGTAGGAGAGACTGGTGTTCTTGGGCTGTCAGTAGAAAGGTTTTTAGAATTATATGTCCTGATCGGAGGCCCCATCGGATGTGGGGCAGGGCAGATGGTGCTAACGGGACAGTTGTTTTCAAGACTGAGGCTCCTCTCGTGTCAATGCAGGTCCCTTGTCAACCGAGACAGCAGGGATTTTGTCCTGAGCAGGGAGCCTGTCTGGGTTGTTGAGGGCCTGGGTGGCTGTGCTTTTGTGTATGCAAATCGGGCAGACCGGAGGCCTCCCAGAAGTTGCTGGGTCGTTTGTGAAGTGGGTGGATGCTGGGTCTTAAGCTGACAATTGGGTACCCCTCTACGTGCCAGCTTCATTCATTCCTTTGCCCGGCATCCAAGGAGACCCACATCGGGCCAGGCCCTTGCTAACTGTTTGCATGTATATTATCTCATGGAGCTACCCGGGGACCACACTGCCCTAGGGGGCCTGCTGGGGGCCGGGGTGGCCAGCAGAGCCCAGCGCTGACCGCCTGCCCTGGTGGGCGTGCTGGCAGGCTCCCGCTGGAAGTCCATGACCAACCAGGAGAAGCAGCCGTACTACGAGGAGCAGGCGAGGCTGAGCCGGCAGCACCTGGAGAAGTACCCCGACTACAAGTACAAGCCGCGGCCCAAGCGCACCTGCATCGTGGAGGGCAAGCGGCTGCGCGTGGGCGAGTACAAGGCCCTGATGCGGACCCGGCGCCAGGACGCCCGCCAGAGCTACGCCATCCCGTGAGCAGCCCCCGCCCCCGGCGGCCGAGAGGCTGTGCGTGCGCGTGTGTAACTCTTGCGAGCGCGGGTGTCGGTGTGCGGCTGGCCTTTGCGTGTGACCCCAGGGCGATGCGTGCGTGTGTACGTTACCTGTGCGTAGCTGGGCCTGCATGTGCAGCTCCGGGGGCGACCGCGTACGGCTGTGCATGTAGCTATGCTGAGCACTTGGCAGCTGAGGTCACAGCACCTGACTGTAACTGCGGAGCACCCGCCGTGGGCCCCTGCAGAAATGTACCTGCAGGTCCCGTTTCTGATGGACTGTGTGCAAATTCAGAGGCACTAAAAATCAAAGTCCTCTTGCACATAAAGATTCCCGGCTTGACTGAAGCTAGCACTCTGCTGGATTCCTTTAAACAGGAAAGCCCCCAGAGCATTAAAAATACACAGTTCCAAAATATTGGATTCATCCTGCATCCTCCAAGAGTATTATCTGTTGAACACACCTGCAGCCCTGGGTCTGCGGGGCCCTCTGCAGGGCTGTGGGTGACAGTGAATTTGGCCATCAGAAAACAGGCTGGGGGCAGTTGTATGAGCCACAGAGCCAAGAAGCTGTGGGGTGGGGCTGCATGCGCTGCGGAGGCTGGGGCAGCGGGGCTGGGGCTGGGGCTGGAGCGGGGGTGCCTGTGTGACCCAGCCTCTTCCCGCCCCAGCCCGCAGGCTGGCCAGGTGCAGCTGAGCTCCACGGACGTCCTGTACCCGCGGGCGGCAGGCATGCCCCTGGCCCAGCCGCTGGTGGAGCACTACGTCCCGAGGAGCCTGGACCCCAACATGCCTGTCATCGTCAACACCTGCAGCCTCAGGGAGGAGGGCGAAGGCACAGACGACAGGCACTCGGTGGCCGACGGCGAGATGTACCGGTACAGCGAGGACGAAGACTCCGAGGGCGAGGAGAAGAGCGACGGGGAGTTGGTGGTGCTCACAGACTGATCCCGCCGGTGGGCCCGGCCCCTTCTGGGGAGGACAGACCCCCCAGCCCAGCCCCGCCCCATGGGCACAGCCAGCCAACCTGGACTACGTTGGTACCTGGCCTTGGGTGTGCCCTGGAGACGGGCAAAGCTGTGCACTTGTAGATACGTTCCTGCGGGGAGCGTCCCCTCCCGCCACGCCCTCGGGCACGCCTGGGGAGCTGTCACCTGGTGGGCAGGCCTGCACGGGTGACGGGCTGAGCTGGCCGAGCTCCTCGGCCCTTGGGGCTCACAGCCGGGGGATGGCCCTCCCTCCTGCAGGTCTACCCACAGGATGTGGCAGCGACAGACCTGTCCCCTTGGGGTCACATGCTGTTTCCATTCTTGTCCTGGCTGGACCAGCCACTGTGGGACCACCACCCCCTCCCGCACACCCCCAGATCACTCCTCCATCACCAGGATCACTTTGTGCAAAAGGGTCTGGCTGTCCCTCACTGTCTTTATCTCTGCCAAGCCCATTGTGCCTCTGGCTGCTTGTGCGTGTGTGTGTGTCAGTGTGTGTGTGTCAGTGTGTGTGTGTCAGTGTGTGTGTGTATATGTTGTTTGTGTTTTCATCTGTTCGTTAATTGCACAAGATATTTATTGAGTGCCCACTACGTGCCAGGCACTGTTGCTGAGTTCCTGTGGCTGTGTCTCTTGGTGCCACTCTTGTTTCTCTGGGGGCCTCTTTCTGTGCTTCTTTGTCCCCAAATTGCTACCTCTTTGTCAGTCTGGGTGTCTCAGGTTCTGTGTATTCCTTGTGTGCATTTCTCTCTTCCTTGTCTTTCTGCAAGGCCCTCTTTGTCTTTTTCTCAGTGTCTGTCCCTGCCCCCCTGATGCCCTCTGGGTCCCTGCAGGCCCTTGGTCTGCCCCTGGGCCCACCAGCCTTCCTGCCCCCCTCCTGCCCGCCCTCCACTCCCTCCCTGTCTGTCTGTCGGTTCCCACGGAGCCACTTTTAGCTCTGAGCAGCATGAGAATGTGCCTCAGCCTCCAAGGGGCTTTGTCCTGGTGCCCCAGCCCTGGTCCCCACCTGATAGCAGGAGTGGGGGCAGGAGGACTGATGGTGCTCCCTTCTGCCCGTGACACAGGCCCTGGAGCCCGGGGGCCCCATCCTGTCCTCTTGAGCGTGGGGTGGGGGCTCCCCATTCTTGGAAGGGGTTGATGAGAAGACTCATTACCCTCTCCCACCTGGCTCCACCCTCTCCTACCTGGCCCTGCCCCTACCTGGCCTCCCCTACCTGGCCCTGCCCCTACCTGGCCTCCCCTACCTGGCCCTGGCCCACCCGCCATCCCCTCCCCCACTCTGCACTAGAGAGTGGGTCTCAGATTCACTAGTCCTTTCCCTAAGGAAGTCGGATCCCATTGGCATCGAACTCCCAAGATGATCTGGAGCAGCCCTCAGACCAGGGTGGGAAGGGAACCCCAAACCCCACAGGGTCAGCTGTGGAGCCTGCCCCTGTCTTTTCCCCTCCCCTTCCCCCAAGCCCCCATTTCCTTCCAGGCTGTTTCTTTTTTTATGACTGTAAACATAGATAGTGCTTTATTTTGTTAATAATAAGATAATGATGAGTAACTTAACCAGCACGGTTCTCCTGTTGACACTCGGGGGATTTCCTTTCGTTTTGTTTTCTGATGGCATAATAAAGACAGATCATTTCGGAATCTGGCCCTTGTGCGGGGGAGGGGGAGGCCGGCCGAGTCCGGAAGCCGGGCACCACTGCCCCCTGGTGGCAGCCGGCGGGAGCTTCAGGCGTGCGGGGAGGAGCCGGCTCCAGCAAGGGAGGCCCAGGTGGAGCCCGTGGGTGACACAGGACATCCACGGAGCCCACACGGAGCGCCCCTGCCTTGACCAGACGAGCCCACCCAGGTCTTCAGAAACGAGGCAGTGGTAAGAGCACTGTAATAGGAGTCGGGGAGGGGACTAGAACCACATAGTTGGGGGGGAGGGGAGGGTCTCCCCTTTGGGCCTCCTTGTCCTGTCTAAAAACAAGGGGATTAACCTCATCCTGGTTCTGATCCTCTTCCAGAGAAGGAGCCCTGTGGGACGCCAGTGGAAGCCTGGGCCCTAGCCCCAGAGGAGGGGGATAGGTACGAGGACGCCCTGAAGCCCACCTGTGCACCCCTCTGCACTGGGCAACAAGGCAGGTCCCTAATGCCGTGCGCCAGGGTCTCTGACCTCGGGCTTTGGACGAGAATGTCCAAGACCGAGTTACCGCACTCGGAGACAGAGGGCTGACAGCAGACTGAGACGCCACAAAATGCATATTTACCAGGATCTGTAAAAAGGCAACTCCTGTGGTTAAAAATTAATCCCATCAGTATGGAAACGGGCACAGCAGGGCTGACTGGCGCCTCCTGTGGAAGAGTGAGACTGGGGCTGGATTAACGGGAGCTTGTGTTCACAGCCAGGGAGGTGATGGTCCCGGCGTACCCCACGCTGGCCTACCGCGCCCTGGAAAAGGCCATTGTCCCGAGGGAAGGCCCCGGAAACAGTCCCCCTGCGTGGAAGAGGAGTGGCGGGACCCTGGTGGGCATGTTTAGGCCAGAACAGAGGAGGCGAGGATAGGGCAGAAGGAGGGATGGTAGGGCAGAAGGAGGGACGGGATCATTTATTTGACACCACCAGGGGGCAAGGGTGTTTTTCCGTAGCTCAGGAGGCAGAGCTTGGACTGGCAAATGAAGGCCTCGAGGGTCCGTATTTGGACTGGACTTAAAGAACTTTTCAACAGAGATGTTCACAAATGGAGTGAACGTCCCAGCGCAGGAAGTAGTAGTCGGAGGCTCTGGGAGTCCCAGATCGGAGAAGGCGGTGGTGAGGGCAGGTGAGTGTCATTGAGTCCAGGGCCACAGACTTGGAAGGGCATGGGAACAAAGGCTCCCCAAGAATGAGGGGTCCTGGCCTTTGACCCAGGGCGCGCCTGGCCTGCCGTTTTTCCCCAGCCCCTCAGCGGCGGGCCCCCCACTCAGATGCAGGCAGCAGTGGGGGAGGAGCCCGCCTGGACAGTTGCTCCCCTCCCCCCAACTCCCGCCGTTCTTCCAAAGCAAGTCCCAGGCAGTGCGCTCCCCGCCCACCCCTGCCAGGCCTGGCTTCCCAGTGCCCAAGTCCTCTTTGGCCCAAGGCCCCCGGGACCCTTGTCCTGCCTGCGTCACCCCAGGTGCTGAGACCGGGGTTGGCCCTGCGTTGTCCTCTTAGGATGGCTGGTGTCCTGGAGCCCTACCCCCCACCCCCCCAGGGGGCGGATGGGTCAGGTGGGACGCAGAGGCCAGGAACACGGTGTCCTGCTGGTTACCAGGAAGGCCGGGCCACAAGCTGTTCTCTGCCCCCGCGGTGCCTCTCCCGCAGAGACCGAGGGTCAGAGCCCATGGGGAAGGTGAACCTCTGCCCACAGGTCGTTTGCCTGGAGCTCCCTGGAAGGGGCCCGAGGGGGTGGAGCCCGGCTCACACTCGGGAGGCCTGCAGCTTAGCCAGTTGGGTGGGGGTTCTGGTTAGTGGGGGGGGTGCTGGGGAAGGAGAGATGGTAGAAGGCCCAGGCTTTGGGGGGCACGCCCCCACCTGCTCGCAATCCTGGAGGACTGAGCATACTTTCTCAAAGAAGGCAGTGGGGTGGTAGCGCCAGGTCAACTCCTTCCCGTGCAGATGGTGGCCAGGGCCTTAGGGGCACAGGATGACACCCCGGGAGCCCTGTCCCTGCTTTCCCTACTCGCCATGGCAACACCTGCCTCCAACGCCGTGACATAAGGCCCAGGAGGCCAGAAACAAAGGTGTGCCTTCAGTGTTAATTCTGCCCTCTGTTCCAGGGCTGGCTCTGGCAGGAACGAGGAGGGTGGGCACTGCCATGTAGTCCACCTGTCCCCACAGATGACCTTCAGGTGCCCCATCTGTCCAGCCCTGGCCCCCCTATCCTCGATGAGCACCCCTCCTAGGCTGCCACCCCTGGGTCCCCGTGACCTTGAAGGCCCCAGCGGTTGCCATGGCATCCTGGTGCTTCTGCAGGTAAAAACCAAACAACCAGAGTCCACCTGGCAGGCGGCTGTTCCAGCCCTGCCCCTAAGGGCACTGGGCACATTCTGGAAGTAGAACTAGCAACCGGGCTGCTGGGAGGGGATGCCCCTTCTCACCTTTGCAGTTTCTGCCCTCTCTTCCCTCTCGCCTTTTCGGAAGGTAAACAGAAAGTTCCAGACATCACTCATGCCAGCTGTCAGGCAGAGCAGCTCCCTTTCCCAGTAGCTGGGAGCCAGGCACGACTGTTTAAGGTGGCTGGAGCCCTTCCACGCAGGGCTTCACGGGCTCACCGCCGTGCTTGGCCAAGGTCCCTGTGCTCCTTGGCTCCCCTGCGTCCAGCTGATTCTAACCAGCCGGTCAAAGGCAGAGGGGCTGAGAGTCACCAGCCCTGCCCGCTCTACAGGGAGCTTCGGAGCCCAGTGCGTGGGGAAGCGCAGCGTCACGTCCAGGGGGACAAATCCTCACCACTGTCTTGACACAGAACAATCCAGAACTGAGGATTTTAATGCAGAAAACCATGATAATTTACAAATGAATCACTTTATGGGCCAGAGCCAGGAGGGCCCAGGAGCCCCGAGGGCAGGAGGAGGGGGCGTGTCGTGTGGCAGTGGCAGGGGCAAAGGCTCGGCCAGCACCTTTCTGATTTGATCCTGCCCAGGCTCTCAGGGCCCAGGAGGAGGCCCTTGGCCCCCCGCCCCTGCATGCCCGCTAGTCATTCCCAGGTGGGAAAACCTCCGGTCAACTTCAGGACAGAGGTGGAGACAGACAGACATTCCCTGGGGAGGAAGGAGGGCCTGGAAGGCAGGGGAGGGAACAAGGCAGGAGGCTGCTGGCTCTGGTCACCCCACCCTTGGCTGTGTCCCCAGCACGCAGCAGGGCCTGGCTTTGGAGGCCCTGGCCTCGCCACCCCTCTTTTCCCCCAGCAGGCCGCGGAGGGCAGAGCAGAAGCAGCCAGGGCCCTGGAGGGGGCACGACGCCTCGGGCTGAGGTTTGGGGAGGAGCTGATCCATTGGATCTGGTTTGGAGAGGGGTGAGGGGTCGCAGATGAGGCGGCTGCTGGGGGAGCTGTCGTGCCCAGTTTTAGACCCCCACGCCCCGCCAGGGTGCGTACATCCATGTGTCAGAGTTGGCGTGATGCTGGCCTGGGGCTCAGCACCTCCTACACGGGGCACGCGGGGGGGGGGGCAGAGGCTCGTGGCACAGGAGGTAGAAAGGAGCCCTCCCCCCTTCCTGTGTCCCCAGGCCAGGAACGGTTAAAGACACAGCTAAGGCAGCCCAGGTTCCAGCAGGGCCTGGGGCTGAGGATGGTGCTGTCACGTCGGCCCCGGCTGGCTGCAGGCACTTCCTCCTGAGCCTGGCGAGGTGAAGGGGACCCCTGGAATTGGGTCCCATCAGCCCCTCCAAACAAGAGAATGAGGTGTCTTCAGAGGCAACCACTGAGGGCTGGTGGCAGGGACAGAGCCTTCTCCCTGGACACCCACCTGTCCCCTCTCCCACCTTGTCCAAGGGTGCAGATCCCAGAGCAGAACTAAGCCCTGGAGAACAGGTCTGGCAAGACAGATGGGGAGGGATGGGGTGGCTGGCTGGTCACTTTGGCATCTCCAAGGCTGACACTTGAGGCTTCACCTTGAAGTACTGGTTGAATCGGATCACCGCGTACCTGCCGGAAGGAAGCTGGGTGTGAGCAGGGAAGCCAGGTGGGCCCTGCCGGGGGTACTCGCACCACGAGGAAAGTCTCTCACCAGCTCTGAGCCCCTCTAGGTCTCGGCAGGTCAAGCCCAGCCCAGGTTTCTGTGTCTGACTTCAACTATGATTTTTTTCTTCTCAGATCAGACTTGGAGCAACTCTGCATGTTTGGAGTTTTGCTTTGACAGGTTGAAGTGCTAAGTACATTCATGATTGTGTAATAAATCTCTCGAACTTTTCATTTTGCAAAACTGAAACTCTATACCCATCAAACACCACTCCCCATTTCGCCCTGGCACCTACCATTCTGCTTTGTTTCTTGACTATCTTAGTTACTTATAATAAGTGGAATCATATAGTATTTGTTGTCTTTTTAAAAAATTTTCTTTCTGGGCCATGGTTGGGGGTGGGAGGGATGTCCCAGGGCTGTGGCCAGTATTTGTCTTTTTGAGACTGGCTTATTTCACTCAGCATAATGTCCTCAAGGTTGATCCAGGTTGCAGCATGTGACACGATTTCATTTTTCAAGGCTGAGTAATATTCTGTGGCATGTATGTGTACCGCCTTTTATTTATCCATTCATCTGCTGATAGACCTTCGGGTTGCTTCCAGCTCTTGGCTACTATAAATAATGTTGCTCTAAACACAGGTGTGCAAATTTCTTTTCAGACCCTGCTTTCGAGTCCTTTGTCTATACACCCAGAGGTGGGATCGCTGGATCATATGGAAATTCTATTTTTTAACTTTTTGAGGAACCACCGCACGGTTTTCCATGGCGGCTCACCATTTCACAGTGCCACCAGCAGCGCATAAAGGCTCCAACTCCTTCATAGCCTTGCCCACATTTGCCATTTTCTGGTCTCTCTGGTAGCAGCCATCCTAAGGCGGGGTGTGAGGCCATACCTCACAGGCCTTCTTTTTTTTTTTTTTTTTTTTGAGACAGAGTCTCGCTTTGTTGCCCAGGCTAGAGTGAGTGCTGTGGCGTCAGCCTAGCTCACAGCAACCTCAGACTTCTGGGCTCAAGCGATCCTTCTGCCTCAGCCTCCCGAGTAGCTGGGACTACAGGCATGCACCACCATGCCCGGCTAATTTTTTCTATATATATTAGTTGGCCAATTAATTTCTTTCTATATTTTTTATAGTAGAGACGGGGTCTCGCTCAGGCTGGTTTCGAACTCCTGACCTTGAGCAATCCTCCCACCTCAGCCTCCCAGAGAGCTAGGATTACAGGCATGAGCCACCGCGCCCGGCTTCACAGGCCTTCTGATTTGCGTTTCTCTAAAGGCTGTGGGCACTCTGAAGCCGGGGTCATGATTCCCTTTCTACTCAGGGTGGGTGGGGAGAAGGCGGGCCAGGGTCTGGACCCGAATGGAGGAAGAAACGATTCCCGGCCCTTAGAGACATATGTGCCTCCATGCCAGGGACCCCCTGAATTGCCGATATCCAAGCACCATCCAGGTACTGTCCTATGTATCACTAGGGGCCACTGACGGGCCCGACACCGCGCAGGGAGGCAGCAAGCACTGAGCCGCCCGAGTGGCCTCACACATCACTTCCGCTCTGGAATTCTGGCCTCCCTGCTGTAAAGATCTCCCTGACCTTTCAGACTGACTTTCAACGATTCCCTCCCTCCACCAGGCTCCATGGACAGGTGCCCTGGCCACAAGCAGGGCCTAGCAGATCTTCCAGGTGCGAGGGAGAAAGTGGCATTTCTGACTATTTTCAGAGTGGTGTTCCCCGGCACCCCCAGGGCAGCGGAAACGGCGTGGGGACGTCAGCAGGACACAGGAATGGACTCCAGGCATTCTATCTGGGCTGTCCTTTGCCCCGTGCCGTGCCCACCCCCCCCAGCTTCCCCCTGCACTCACCTGAGGAAATCGAAGTCGATGGTGGAGTACTGGTTCTGGATGAGGGCCCAGAGCGCCCAGAAGAAGTGAGACGCCTGCAAACAGACCAGAGAGGGTCAGCTCGGCAATGCCCCGCGCCGGTCGGCAACTCCGCAGAGCCGGGGACGCAGCCGCGATACTGGCAGAGACGTGGTGGGGGCTCCACTCCTGCCAGAGGAAGGCAAGCAGAGCCAGTTCTACCCAGGCCCTACTGTCTGTCCACCCCAAGGGGGTGTGGTCAGCAGAATGGTGCTTCTAGGGGTTTCAGGGGGTTCCCCCAGCCAAGCAGGACCCACACTCCACCCCTGGCCTCTTCCCTACCCAGGGGAACCTGCTTAGAGTCTTTGAGGCCAAGGTATCCTGGACAAAGACGACTCCCTGAGCCAGAGCTTAGGCCTACTGGCCAGTGGATGGCACGCCTCAGTAGGGCACAGGGGGATGAGAAGAGGGATGGCAGCCGTGCCTTGGCCCTGAGTCTGCTGGAAGACCCCTACACTGACCTTCACTCTCCGCTACTGGCAGGCCAGTCAGCCTGGAAAATGAATCTAGTTCTGGGAACAATGGGCATTTGCTGAGCATTAAGCCGTGCTTTCCCTGTAGCCAGGGGTGCCCACAAGGCCCAGGTCACCTCAGACTCAAGAAGCCAGGGGACCACAGCTGCCCCTGAACAAACACTAGTGACACCATCATTTTCCCATGCAAGGGTCCCTCCCCACCCCTGTGGCATTCCCACCCCCTTCCAGAGTCCTGCTCCATCAGGGGTTGGCTACAAAGTACCTCCCCTCCACTTTCTTCCCTTTTCATGACTTCAAAAGGACACAGAAAAACTAGCAAGAATGAATGATCACTAAAACCTTAGCAAGAGGCACCACATAAACAGAAGCAAAAACAAAGACCATGTGATCTTCTCAATAGACACAGAAAAAAGCATTTGACAAAATTCAACACCCTTTTATGATAAGAACACTTAACAAAATAGGCATAGACAGGGCTTACCTAAAAATGATACAAGCCATAAAAATGACCGGGCTTACCTAAAAATGACAAACCCACAGCCAACATCATACCGAATGGGGAAAAATTGAAAGCATTCCCATTTAGAACTGGAACAAGGCAAGGTTGCCCACTCTCTCCATTTCTATTCAACACAGTGCTAGAAGTCCTTGCTATAGCAATCAGACAAGAGAGTGGAATTAAGGGCGTCTAAATGGGGGCAGAAGAGATCAAACCCTTTTTGCTGATGATATATCTAGAAAACCCCAAGGATTCAATGAAGAGACTCCTGGAATTGATAAATGAATTCAGTAAAGTCTCAGGATACAAAATTAATGCACACAAATCAGAGGCATTCATATATGCCAATAACAAACTGAGAACCAAATCAAAGACTCAATTCCCTTCCAAATAGCAACAAAAAAAAGATAAAGTACCTAGGAATATATTTGAGGAGGTAAAAGACCTCTATAGGAAGAACTATGAAACTCTGAGGAAGGAAATAGCAGAGGATATAAACAGGTGGAAGACCATACCATGCTCGTGGGTCAGCAGAATCAACGTTGTAAAAATGTCTATACTACCCAAAGTCACCTACAGAGTCAATGCAATCGCTATTAAAATACCATCGTTATTTTTTACAGATACAGAAAAAATAATTTTATGCTTTGTATGGAACCAGAGAAGACCCTGTATAGCAAAAGTAATCCTAGGCAATAAAAACAAAATGGGAGGTATCAATTTACCAGACTTCAAACTATACTACAAGGCTATAGTAATTAAAACAGCTTAGGATTGGCACAAGAACAGGGACATTGACCAGTGGAACAGAACAGAGAGCCCAGATATAAAACCATCCTCATATAGCCATCTAATATTTGACAAAGCAGACA